GCGTATCCACAACTACCGTGCACGAACTCCTCTTCGCCGACGACTGCGCCCTGAACACCACCTCCGAAGCGGAGATGCAACGGAGCATTGACCTATTCTCCGCCGCCTGCGAGAACTTTGGGCTGGTCATTAACACGCAGAAGACGGTGGTGATGCATCAGCCGCCGCCCAACTCAGCCACAGTCCCCAACGCGCCGCCGCAAATCAGCGTGAACGGAAATCAACTGCAAGTGGTGGAGAACTTCCCGTATCTGGGCAGTACCCTCTCCCACAACACCAAGATTGATGACGAAGTCGCCAGCAGGATTTCGAAAGCCAGTCAAGCCTTCGGTCGTCTCCGAAGCACAGTTTGGAATCGCCACGGTCTCCAACTGAGCACGAAGCTGAAGATGTACAAGGCCGTCATCCTGCCGACGTTACTGTACGGAGCAGAGACATGGACGGTGTACACGAGACAGGCACGCCGACTGAACCACTTCCACCTCAGTTGTCTCCGTCGCATCCTGAGGCTGAACTGGCAGGATCGAATCCCCGACACGGAAGTACTGGAACGAACGGGAATCCTCAGCATCTACGCCATACTGAAACAAATGCAGCTGCGCTGGAGCGGCCACCTGGTGCGCATGGACGACGAGCGACTACCCAAACGACTCTTCTACGGAGACGTCGCGACGGGTTCTAATCGTCAAGGAGGCCAAATTCGCCGTTACAAGGATACCCTGAAGTCCTCCCTGAAGCGCCTGCAAATCAACCCGACCAACTGGGAAGAGCTCGCTCGCAATCGTCCGACATGGAGGAGAACAGTGAAGACGGGCGCTGCTATCTACGAAGCCAACCGAATCGCCGCCGCCAAAGCGAAACGCGAAGCCCGCAAATCAGAACTTCGCCCAATACGCAACACCGCCGCACAACCGCTCTCAACGTGTCCTCGATGTCAACGGACATTCCGGGCACGAATCGGACTTGTTGGACATCTCTGAACCAACTGCACCTCTCGAACTGCTCCAGCCATCGTCCCCCCGCCCGCCTCTTCCTCCTCCCTTCCGCCAACTAACTCTGACACTCCTTCTGCACCACCAATTCCATCCTCCTCGTCCTCGTCGTCCACCTCCCTCACCACTGCCCCAGCGGCAGCCGTTCAGACTGCTGTCTCACACATCACCAACACCAAAACACCAACCAACATCACCTCTCCCACCTCTCCCGATTCCAGTGATGAGGATCAGGACTACACCTGCCCTCACTGTGACCGCACCTTCACCTCACACATCGGCCTGGTCGGTCACTTGCGAATCCACCGCACAGAGACTGGTGAACCAGTGCCTGGAGCACCAACCTACACCCACCGCACTCGCCTCCACTGCCCACACTGCCCTCGCACCTTCACGCATCGCATGGGTCTATTCGGCCACATGCGCATCCACGAGAGCGGAATTGACCGCAGCCTTGACACACCCACCCCGCCGAGCCCCACTCCCAATCCACCACCTTGTGCACCCACTAACCACTCCCCAGCCGACCTCGACGCCACCGACCTTACCACCCCTCACTCCTCCCCTCCCTCCTCCTCTTCCTTCATCACTGCCACAACGACGGCCGCTTCGGCGTCTGTCGCCCACGACTTCACCACAGCCGACCCTGACACAACAACAGGCACAACCCCTGCAACCTCCATCATCAGACGTGAGGGCCAGGACTACACCTGCCCTCACTGCGATCGCACCTTCACCTCACGCATCGGCCTGGTCGGTCACTTGCGAATCCATCGCACAGAGACTGGCGAACCAGTGCCTGGAGCACCAACCTACAC